TCTCATGTCAGCTGCCTGTAATGTCTCTCTCATTCGTGTCCTGGTACCCTTTTGAAGAGGTTTTTGGTTCAGGTTCATTCTCACGGACTGCCCGCCTGGGAGGTCGCAGCCATTGGAGTAATTTTATTTCCGTCCTGTGAATCTAAAGGATCTGTTGAAGCGCTATCGTAAGTAAGTGGAGAGGGCTGGGAGGATCAGTGCTAATCTAGCGTGGGGCAGTTCTGAGGCTTGGGAAGGAGATTAACTGATGAGCCCAGTGTAGTGTAGTGGCAGCGATGCAGGGAGCAGGGCATCGCCATCCGCTTGGACCGTGGCTGAAGCCTGGGAACGTCTCCCTTGGATTTTGACATCCAGAGCAGCTCAACCTGAAAACTTGGGCAGCAGCCATTGTGCAGATGACGGCAGTGGAGGCAGTTGCCAACACCAAGCATATGTCAGTTATGTGCCAATGATATCTGGTAATTTGGAAAACAATGGGGGTTTTCTAGGGGAATATTTCATGGTAGCATGAATCTTTCTTCTCTAAACCTGTACAGCCTCCTTCCTATGCTATACTTCTGGCATTAAAATATCATCTTATTATCTACAGATATTTCTTCAGAAACCCTGTGGGCATGTGGGACATGCTGAGGAACTATGTGGGGGCTCAGAAGTTGTCCTCTGCACTCAAACGCACCACACTCAGCTCCATGTCACCACCACCCTCCTGGAAGCCACTGGCCCTTCAGATCTGCTACGGGGGCAGCTCATGTGAGCATCTGTCAGTTTGAAAGTCCTCCCATTTCACCAGCCTGAGCTAACATGGTTTGATTTGTTTGAAACACATGGGGAAGGGTCATGAGAATTCCTCTTCATTCATAGAGAGGGAAGAGAGAAGTGAGAGATGCTGAGGGCAGGTCCTTGGGCAGGACGTCTTCCTCAGCACTCTCTCCTTCTTCATTTTCTAAATATCTTTTCTCCTTTTATCTTCCCTGTGGGGTGAAGTAGACAGATCCTCAGTGAAATCACTGGAGTTAAACTGGGATCAAACAAATTTGATGGAGAGAAGATAGTAGCTGTTCGTTGCTGAACCAGTGATGGCACAAGTTTATGCCACGGGGGCAGGGAAAAGACTGTCTTTGAAGTTCATCTGTGCTTAATATTTACTGTCAAACATGCTGCCAAACTACTTAAGGCCAGATTACCTTCAGCTTGATGCAAAATTGCGTCGTAATAAAGCAGCAAGCACATATTTTCCACTGCCTGCTACAACCATGGCCTCCTCTTGCATAAAGGGACCCATCCCAGCCAGGCAGGGTGGGTGCCAGAGGGTCAAACACGGCTCAGGCCCTGCTGCAGATACACCTGAGCACTGCAGGGAGATGGCTATCTGCTCTCTTGGGCTGAGGGTAGCAAGAACCTTCACCAGACGCTGCTGGGCTTTTTTTATGTCGGGCTGCGCATGGACCGAGCTGCTTGATGGATTTCAATGGCACGAGTGATGTGTTAGAAAGTTATGGAAAAGAGACCAGGACCCACCTGTAATGTGCCATGTCTGGATTCCAGCTGCTCCAGCAGAAACTGAGAGGCACTCATTACAACCCTGGCTATTCAGAACATGTGTGATTATTTATGCAAGAAAGCCAATGAAAGGCAAACCTAAAGGGGCAGATTTCTCAAAAATCAGAGTTTTGCTAAGTAAAACAAAACCCAGCCTGATGGCACCATAAGCAGAAGCCCGTGTGGGATGGCTGTCTGCCTGTCTGTCCAGGCACTTGTTATTGAATACATCACCAGGGCGAGCCATGACCAGACTTTCAAAAGGGGTTAAGCACGTAGCTTTTGCAGAGATCAATGGGAATTAGGCACCGAAGTGATTTGAAAATCTTGCTAGGTAGACTGCTGTGCATCCAGAGAGCTAACTGCTGGTCCCTCAGCACTTTAGAGACCCTGTAGTATTCAGGTGCAGCAACTGAACTTCAAGGGATTGTGTCCACACTGTTCAAGGATGAAGAACGTCCCAACTCCACCACACAGGGAAGCCCTCCCTGACGTTATTTTTCTAAACAACCCTAATGAATCAAGGGATTAAGGCTTGTTGCTGGTAAAATATTATACAGAGAGATTCACACATCAGATACAATGTCAGTGCAAGGCCCAGGTAGGCAGAGTGAAGTCTCCCTTTGCATCTCTGAGGTGGATGCACAGCACCTGGGGCACTATCCAGGCCATAGCATCAATTGAGGCCAGGTTGTTGTGGCCCCGGGAAATTTTTAAGAGTTGTTTATTAAACCCAGGAAATTTCCTGTGGTGCCACTAGCGAATCAATCCCATAGAGTAGCCTACCACAAAGCTGACTTGTAACTTGGCTTTTCAGAACCTGCAGTAAAACTCTTTAAACTCAACGCTTCTAAAATGCTCCACCATGCTCCCTGGATGTGATTTGGGCAGAACAGAAGTTGAATTGTCATAATGTAAGGGGGGGAAATTTGGAATATTCTGAAGACCTCATCACAGGAGTTTTGCATTGTAGCTGTTGTCATTTTTGTGGGTTGTTTTTTTTTTAATTTTTTTTTTTTTTCTTTAAGACATTAGACTAAATTGACTGAACCATTCTGCTGGGTTTCAGGATTCCTGCAGTTATATAATCAACTTTCTGTTCTACTCTTTTGTGTGGATGTGCTAAATTTGCTGAATTAAGATGATGAATGCAAGCTTCTGCATCAATTTCCTGGTTGGGAATTAACTGGGGTTCCTCTAATGAAATCTCTGAATGTGAGCAATCAAGCTAGTATATTTGGTAACACGAGTCTTTGTATGAGCAAACAAAATTAATCCACTGGGATCAGAGTTCCCTTGAACACCGTAAGAAAGAGCCTCCTACGACCTACAAAACAAAAGGATTTCTTACTCTCAGACATGCTCAACAGGAAATGGAAGAAGTGTCCTTTACTTGTATCATCCATTTCTACCATGTTACCTGCACACATGGCAATATTGTTAAAGCATCACTTCAGCAATGGGGTTTTATGCTTGTCAGTGCTAAAGCAAACCGGGCCATGACACAGACAAATAAGGAATTACTGTCAACAGAACAAGTTGCCATGCAGGGAAATTACACAAGGACAAGGGGAATGCTTTCCACATACTTAACGTAATTCCAAGTCAATGTCCTTTCATCTGTGCCAATATAACTAGCTTATTACTCCTTCTAAAGCTATTCAATTTTCTTGGATATTTATGACTTTGCCAAATCTCCTTTACATTCTACACAATTATCAATGAAACATTCTGTGGGAAATACTGTTTACAGCTTCACAGGCATGAGACTATAGACAAATTTGTTGTTAAATCACCATGCAAAAAGATGAGGGGGGGGGGGGAAG